ACTGTCTGCTTCTGTTCCCACAATTATTCCATTGGGCTCATGAAATACACTTCTATTTATCATTAATGTGTGAAAATAAAGATCTCTGTTCTTTAATTCAGTAACACAGCTTTTAGTGTAACCAGGCCTTAGTTTTGTATTTTCTAAATTTATGATATGAACCTTCTGTTTATTGGTGATTTGATTTGGGAATTTTGACTTAATAGGAATTGGTGTTATTTGGTCACGTAACATAACCACTGCTATTGGTTGGGCATACCAATTTTAGTTCATAAGAGTTGATGTTTTTATACCATACTATGTATTTAATTTTGAAATGACTTTTCAATGTTCTTCATAATCATAAAATGATAAGCATAAAGGGAATTTGGTAATTTAAAATATTTAGTATTATGTCGGACATTAAGAATCCGGTATGGTGTTAAACTAATAATTTTTCAGTTTAATAGGATTAGTTTGTTTGTTGCCTTACGCTACGTTTGGTTGGGGAATTTGTGAAGGAATTTAGAAAGAGAAAAGGAAAAAATAGGTAAAATGTGAATAAAATATACTTACATTTCATATAGTTTCACACACATTTTCCCTTTCTCTTTCCAAATCTCTTCTCAAATCCTTCAACCAAACATGGCGTTAAAGTATTAGGTATATTTGGGGTCATTTTTACAGCAATTTACTGAAAACAATGTACAAAAATCTCTACTATAGTATTCCAGATTTAAAACAATTAACTATGTTATTATTACTAAACATTCGCAATAGAAATCAGTATGCCTGAATGCTAAACATTAAGGCGGAACTTCCTTCTATCATAGAGTTGCATCTTCCCAAAATCTTGCATTATATAAGTTTCCATCTAATAATAGACTACAAATATGAACAATTTCTATTGTACAGAATTTTTTTAGTTATTATTATTGCTCCCCTTTGTAGCTTAATGTTAACCTTCAAAATGAATTTCAGTAAACTAAACTAGGTATTGGTGACCATACCATAGTTGTTCTGAATGCCATGCTATAGTAACAAAAGCGTCTGAAAGTTACTGCCTCTTATCTTCGAAGCTTGCATTCTGTAATAGAATTATATGTTCAATATGCAATGTAATGGTCCGTTTCGTTGGAGTTATGATGCTGCCAATACTCATTTGTCTAGAAAATAATAACCTACGCAGTAGCTTTCTTTTTTTTCTTTTTCTTTTTTAACAAGAACCTATGTAGTAGCTTTTGTCAAAGAAATTAGAAACACTTCTTGAGAAAACTATATTTTGTATGGTTTATGGGTTTAGGGTTGATGCTCTAATTTTTGTTAGTCATGGGATGTGACAACCCTCACCTTGCTCTTGCCATATTTGCGTACATTCTTGCATGGTCTTGCCGCTTATGTTAATTTAAAGGTTTTATCTTGGCTTGATTTGCTTAAGTTGCTTGCATGATTTTGTTCCTTGCTTAGTTTGAGAAAACTATATTTTGTATGGTTTATGGGTTTAGGGTTGATGTTCTAATTTTTGTTAGTCATGGGATCTTCTCTTCCCCTTTATAATTCTTCTATTCCTCTTAATTTTGTTCACGTTTTTAAAATTAAAAAAAAAAAATTATATCTGTTACATTTGAATAAAATATAGGGTAAATTACAATCACCTTGCTTGCGGTTCCTGATAATTACGCTGGCTTCCTCTCAATTTTTTTGAAATTACATTGACCTTCCTTGTGAGTAATGGCGTTAATGGAAGGGTTAGTTTAATAATTTTAATATTAGAGATTAGTATTTTGGTCATATCTTATATATTGTTTGGTTTTATCTGAAAAAAAAATTAATTATAATATTTGTGATAATCAACACCATAAATGTTATAACTTGTGTATGATATACATAAAATGATGCGTATTTTAGAATAATCTATTGCTATGATAAAAGTGATGATGAAACAAATTAAAAAATTAATTAAAAATTACAAAAAAAAATTTACAGGGCTTGACCCTTGTAACAAAATAAATCATGAATTTTTAATTTTGTCATTTAAACCATAAACTTTTGATTTGTCTTCAATCTAAACTATCTACTTCTTTGTGTAAGTAAAATCGACGGAAAATAGTTATTTTAGTCATAAATTCAATGAGAAATGATATTTTAGATATTTTATGTATATCTATATTGAGTTTAGTAACTAAAACATTCCTTTTTCGTCGATTTTCCTAAACAAAAATTGATGAATGGTTTAGATTGAAAACAAATTAAAATATTAGAGGTTAAATTAATAAAATAAAAAACTTAGAATTTATTTTGTTAAAAAGTTCAAACTCTGAGACTTTTTTTTATAATTGTTCCAAAAATTAATTACATAAATATAAAATAAGCTATTAGGTAATTTTTAATAAATATTAATATCATACAGTTTAGTTGTTTTTTAAAAACTAAGATAAAATTGATGAGTCTTGCTATCTAAACTAATAAAAATCAAATTGTGGCACCACATATATTTATTTGAGTAGTATTAAATAATATTTCTAAATACTCACATAGTTTGATTATAAATATATATATATATATACATATAATTTATTGCTTTATATACATACAAGTTCTTCTATTTCTCATTTGGCTTCAATAATTCATATTATTATTTTTTTAACCTAAAAAGTGATTAATTAATTTCTTTTATTCTTAGGCCAAGTTTGGGAAGACTAAAAAAGTGCACTTTTTGTCTTTTTGGACTAAAAAATTGAGGTTGAAAATATGGATGTTTGGGTTAACTTTTTGACTTTTTATTGAAAAATGTGTAATAAAAAAATGAAAAAATTGATTCGTAGGGACCTATTTAAATTAAAATCACTTTTCAAAATAAGCAAAATTCAAAATTTTATCTTGACTTTTGGTGAATAGTGTTAACTTTTTAACTTTTTGAGTAACTTTTTGGCTTTTTGGCTTTTTTTAAAGTCCCCAAACTTGGCCTTAATTTACAGATAATCATTTCAAATGTAATACAAACCAAACAAAAACCCCCATATGTGCTAATCTAACAATTAACCATTAATTTTTGTAAAAAAATGAAAATAAAAATAGAACCGTTAGTCAAACTAACGGTCAACTAACAGATTGGGAGAATATGCAAATCAAAAGTAAATTTCAAAGGAAGTTAGTGTAATTTCAAAAAAAGGAGAAGAGACTGATGTAATTATCAAAAATCTCAAAGGAGGTGAGTGTAATTTACCCTAAAATATATGGCATATATAATAATATATAAAAATATAAATTTTGAGCTTATGCTTTGAGTGTGGTCTTCTATTTTTTGAAAATTTACAAGTTGGCTTGCTATTGTTGTGTTGATATTGTGTCACGTATAACTATATCAATATTTGTATTTTTTGATTGTAAAGTTATTTACTTTATTTTATTTGAATAAAGTTCACTTGCACCTTTATATTTTACATCTAATTTTACTTTTTTTCTTAATATTTTAATTGTCTCAATTAATCTTTAGATTTGTTACAAGTAAGTCATATAACAACTCGTTTTGAAAATTGATGAAAGGAATAAAGTTATATTTTAGTAAAAGTTAGTGTTAAGACTAAATTAATAAAAATATGAGTGCTAAATGTAATTAATAAAATTTTATTGTTAATTTTTTAAACGATATTATATAAATGAGTACAATTGTAATTTTTAACTCAAAATGTGAAAAATTAACAAAAATAATTAAAAAGTGAGTAAATTGAAATTAGATGTAAACATTAGGGTGTAGCCCAATGGTCTAGTAGCTATACTTTAGGGTGTGGCGAACACTTCAGTTATAATCTAACTCTACTAACTATACTAATACTATCTTTGACCAAAAAAAATAAAAAATGAAATTACATGTAAAATAAAAAATGAAAAGGGAAATTTACTGTATTAGGTTTCTATTTTTGGCAATCTCGTTTAACAAAACTCCTTTCAGTTGTAATTTTATTCGTTCTTTTATTTCAGTAAGGCTATGAGTATTTATACGCGAATCCAACCCGAATTATGCTTATGCAAAGCAGAAGAGTTTGGGATGTTAATCATATCAGTCGAAGTTATTTGTCCGCTAGAGCGGCTGATTGTGCGCCCGAACGAAGACGCAATCCTTTTAGAAGTTTCACTCGCCTACAAAAGTATTGGGAGTAGTTTTTTTCCGCTCAAGTGGTCATTCCTACGCTCGAGCATAGACCCTGTTTAATCACTCCGCTTAAGCCGTCATTCTTGCGCTCAAGCAAAAATCGCAGATCTGTTTGCTATAAAAGTTACAGTTCAGTCAAATTTTAGGATACTGCTTCCAATCTTCTTCTTGGGTATTATGGTTTTCTTCTGGAGCTTCTTTGCTTGTTTCCTTTGATATCTATGAGAGTTTATATCATGAATTGAGTGGATTATATCAAAGGGTTTTGTTTTGTTTATTTTGTTTTATTCAAAAGAGAGAGAGTTGTTCTTTAGTGGATTTCGTGGAATTTAGGTTTGAAGCTTTGGTGGGTTCTAGAGTGGCTCATCGTCGTGGATTCGACATCGGCATTGTGAATTCAATGTTGGACAAGACAATTCCGAGATGAAGACGGAGCTAGAAGAGACACATAGGGGTCGGTTTGATTCAGGCGTGGATTCGCTAGGTAATTAAGAGTACACTTGTGTAATTCCTTTGTGTCTTCTTAGTGGATTGTTTTGTGATTTTTGCCCTTGATTTTTTTATCACAATTGGAGGCGCTCCTATTATGGTTTTTTCACATAAAATCGTTGTGTTAATTTGTCTTTGATTATTTGATTGGGATTGCTATATACTGGTTAAAATTAATACATAATCACAAATCAATATATTGGGGATTTTAGATTTTTCATACTGTATAAATGTGTTACAGTGAAAAACGTTCTAAACACGCAATTGGAAACTTCAAAATCCAATATAAAATCAAAAGTTTGGCTTCAATTCTTTTCACTTAAATTCCTTCCAATACAAACCAAAATTTTTCGATTCTTCTTCTTCTTCTTCTACAATGATGGTGATGAAGTTTGCGCCAAAGGTTCTTTCTGGTAACGATATAGTAACTAGACCTAGAAGATGGAACAAGAATGAACACATTTTAGTTGACAATCTATTTTCCCATCTCGGATCTCTTCATACCTGGCTTCTTCCCACTTCTTTCTACGCTGTTTTCGATGGTCATGGAGGCTTTGAAGACGCAACATATCTCAAGAACAACGCCATTAGATTTTTGTTCCAAGATGTTGATTTTCTCCAAACATCTCATAATATTGATAATGGTGGTGATGATGGTTTCTTGAATGAGTTGAAGGATTGTCACCGCAAAGCGTTTTTGCTCGCTGGTCGTGCCTTGGCGAATGAAGAAGATTGTGGTGTTTCGTCTGACTGTGGAACCACGACACTAACTACTCTAGTACTCGGCAAGCATTTAGTTGTAGCAAACGATGGCAATTGTCGTATTGTGATCTGTAGAAAAGGGATAGCAATACAGATAACACAAGATTATAGGCCTAGTTATTTACCGGAACGAACAAGGGTTGAGGAGTTAGGCGGTACCATCAAATTCGGGTACCTTAATGGTGAACTTGTTGTGACTTGTGCCCTTGGAGACTAGTATATAAAGAGCCTATTAGGTTTTTGTTATTGGCAATTCCATTTGACAAAACTTGTTTTAGTTGTAATTTTATTCGATCTTTTATTTCAATGAGGCTATGAGTTTTAGATCCGAATCCAACTTGAATTATGCCTATACAGAGGAGTTTGTGATCTTAATTCTATCATGTTTACCACTCCACTAACTATGTCGGGGATTGAGCGGCCGATTGTACACTCAAGCGGAGGTCACGACCTTTCAGAAGTTTCACTTGCCTGCAAAAGTACTCGGAGTTGTTTTTTTCTACTCGAGTGGCCAAACCTGCGCCCGAGCGTAGACCCTGTTTAGTCACACGCATTTTAGTCAGTCTGCTCGAGCGGAGATCGCGGATTTATTTTCTCTAAATATGTGGTTCTATCAGATTTTAGGGTTACGGCTTCCAGATCTTGTTCTTGGATATTAGGGTTTCCATCTGGAGCTTCTTCGCTTGTTTCCTTTGATATCTATAAAAGTCTAATCATGAATTGAGTGGATTATATCAAAAGATTTGTTTGTTTTGTTTTATTCACAAAAGAGAGAGTTGTTCTTCAGTGGGTTCCGAGGAACTTAAGCCTGAAACTTTGGTGGATTCCTGAGTGGTTCATCGTCGTGGATTCGATATCGGCATTGTGGATTCAACGTTGGGCAAGACAATTCCGAGGTGAAGACGGGGCTAAAAGAGACACATAGGGGTCGGTTCGATTCGAGTATGGATTCGCTAGGTAATTGAGAGTACACTTGTGTAATTCATTTATGTTTTCTTAGTGGATTGTTTTGTGGCTTTTGCTCATGATTTTTTATCATAATTGGAGGCGCCCCAGTTGTGGTTTTTTCACGTAAAATCGTTGTGCCGATTTGTCTTTGATTGTTTGATTGGGATTACTATTTACTGGTTAAAATTGATACATAATCACAAATCAATTTCTCCAAGATTTATTAAGATTTTCATATCCCTTTTGGGTCTGTATCATTGTGCCTCTCACTATAACCGAATGTTCATCAAATTGTTTTAACTGAGGACAACAAGTTTTTGATCATGGCTTGTGATAGGATTTGGGACGTAATGTCGAATCAAGAAGCAGTCGACATTGTTTGCCATGGGTTAATGCAACACCACGATCCACAGCAGTGTGCTAGTGAAGTTGTTGATCATGCATTAGGCCTTTGTAGCAAAGACAACATGACCGCCATTGTTGTGTGTTTTACTTGGGATGTGGATCATGAGAGGCCTGTCTTTCGCACCTATGTGAGGCGGGGGAGCAAGCTCAAGGATGCTTTTGTTTAGGCTTAAGTTTAGGACTCAACTAATCAATTTTCACTAATTTTGGGATTTTATATTTTTATTTTCAAATTTTGATTTAGTTAGTAAGCTTGTCAATACTAGGCTTAATGTTTCTGAGAGATACTTTTTGATTTTGAGAATTAAAATTTTAAACCTTAAATTCATCTGTTTCTATTGTTTGGATTAAGCATCATCATCATTGCTATCTTATTCCCATTCCTAAGCAGTTGAACAAAGCTCTTTCATTTTTCTTTAGAACTATAGTTTCTAACATCAGCCCTGAGTTAGTATTATCTACGTGACTTGTCATTCTTATCTTCGACAATAATATCATTTGAGCACCAGGGCATCAAATAATGCAGTTATAAATCAAAAAAGACTAGACCATAATTCGATGAATTGTGTAAATTGCTGAGATACAACAATGTAATTTACAATTATTTACACACTAATCCAGACTCTAATTGAATTAAGTAACAACAAAGGTTCGTTGGTCTGTACAAGCAGAGATGCAGGAAGTCATAATCATTTACAGGGTTTTGTTACATTTGTTTGATGGCCACTTCACCATAGAACTAGTTTATTTAAGATAAAATGACAACCATATTCAAAGAGCCTTTAGAACAAGTTTGCTGGTATGATGAACCCCCATTGCAGCAAGTCTCAATACGACACGAGTCCTGTACAACCTGCAAACCAAAAAAAAAAAAATGTAGAAGTGCCTAAAACAATCAATTATTTCTTGTCACATAAAACCACTAATTTCTTCCTGTATCATAGCTAGATTATGGGCATTGTAGCTAACTAGTGTGTAAATAGATCGCACCCATAAGGCTTTCAACTTACAATAGGATCTGGGTGAGGTATATAATATAGTAGGTAGACCCAACTTGCCCCCACTTTCTTGTGGAGAGGTTGATTCACATGACTCAAAACCGAGCCATAGAGTTAAGGGCAGATAGCATTTGCCATCCCTCCAGTTCATGACCTCTTGTATGAGCGTAGGCATCCCATGAACATCGTCGGAGTTCATATTTCAAATTCCCATACCAGATTTTAATCATGTGACCATTGAATGCCAAACGATTTCCAAAGTATGTAGAACACAAATTCAATAAGAACTTAAGAAAAAAAAAGGGAATGGTGTGATTTCACTTCACCCCCTTATGCATATGGAGCTTTTCATTTTAACCATGATTCTTCCAATGTTGTTTAGCCTTAGTGGCAGGAACCTCCTACTTGGGTGATGTTTCTTACTCAAAAACCCGATTCTGCACTACCACATAAAAAACTTGTAAGATCAACTAAGATAGAACCTCCCAAATATACAAATTTCATAAAAACAAAATAAAATAAAAATTTGTTCTAATAGTTTCTATTTACATAATATTAATGCACACCCAAAGACTGTTTCATGTTTTTAACTTCCAGACGAAAGGATTAAAATATTATCGTCATTAGTCTAGCTGCCTCTTGTTTTCCCCATTTCTTGTATTTGGAAGTTATGCCTTACTTGATTCTCGTATTCTTTGTTCTTTTTTAATGAAATTCTCAATTACCAAAAAATAAAACACACTACCATCAAATCAAAGATGCTAAAAGTAAATAATTTCCAGAAAGTGAAGGTAGAGATCCATTTGGTCTTGATGACCACAAGAAATTGAAGGTAGAGATCCAAGAGCACGCAAAGATTAATAAACATAGCTAACAACTCTCCCTGCCAGAGCAAGTCCCCAGGTAGAATAGGTGTAAAACAACTTCCTAGCATGCCAAACATTTAGCATCTTCTCCAACTTGTTCATGCCACCCAATGCTTTATTTAGAGCTGCATGTACAAATTTATGTTATGAAAAAACCACTACCTTCAGATAACACAATTACGTATTCCTCAGTCTATTGAGGAAAACTCATATGGGGAACATCCAAATCCAGATAAGTAAGTCTACCGAGGAAAAATCATATTGTTGTCTTAGACTTGGTCTTGGTTTTGAGAAATGTCTTGTGATGGTTGGGGTGGAGGAGCTGGTAGCTCACATTGAAGTAAGGCGTGGATTAAAGCTTGGTTTTGTTCAACAAGCGGTTAATGCTATTGATAAGTTCAGTGAAGTATTGAGGTGGATTGTTTGGGTTGGAGGGCTCGGCTTGAGGATTTCCAGTGGTGTGTTGTAAAGCCATGGATCGTGTCGTAACCATTCACTCCGACACTAAAGATGGGTGATAAGGAAACCGTTTCTAGCGACAATGAACACAATTGTCAACCGAAAGGTTCCCATAGACAGCGCCAACTAATGATGCAGTTTGGTCGGACAAGAGATGGGTCAGACAGGATCCGGATGCTCCACGGATTGGCCAAACTTCGTTTTTCCAGCAACACCTACACCAAGTCCGATAGGAAGGACACAGGGGTTGGGGTTCCTTCCTAAGGACTCTCTGATTGTTAAGTTAGATTAGAATAAAAAGAAGTCAAGAAGTAGTTAGAGAGAGTATGTATATATTGATATCTTTCATACCTTTGTTAGCCTCTTGGCTTACCGTGCCCCACTCATGATTGTTCTCATGTCTTTGTCTTTTCACGCTGTCCCACCAGTCGTAAGTCTATGGTTATTTGTAGCCAACCATGGCAGTGTCGCCATGTCACAGAAATCACAGAAGAAAATGAGGGCTGCTTGCCTCTTCTTTTTGTCTGGCCATTGGCCTAAGTTGGGTTAGGAATTATTTAGACGACTCATTGGACCATATATTTGGGCTTAGGAATTATTTGGACAGCCTAATGGACCACCTATCTAGGCTATGCCCACCAGAATCAAATTGGGGAAATTTTTGGTTTGAATTATTGAGCAAGCTTCATAAATACCAAGGTTTTAGAAAATGGTCTCCTAATATTTCTTGCAACAAATTTTTTTCTTTTTAGACTGAAAAAATTGTGATCCCTGATACCCTTATATGTTATAGTGTTCGTTGCTCAAACAAAATGAAGCTTAGTGGAAGCTTCAAGTGCATGCATGATTGTTCAAAGTAGATCTAGGATCATTTTTTGGATATGCTATTGAGCTATTCTGTAGTAGTATATACCAAACATAGCCTTCACTGTTATTATGATATTTTATTTTTTTTGTTTTTTGGGTCGCTAGGTTTTGTTGCTTCACACACACTGCCAGTTCTGTACGAGAGGAATACAGACCAAGTGGACAGCTTTGTATACAATGTCCTCAGCAAAATTTTCAAAGGAAACAAGCATACATACGTATAGAAATAAAATCAAAAGTTATCCATAATTTATAATTTATAATTTACGGCCAAGATTCATTCATGGTTGACTCCAAAACAACAAAATCAAATCTTCACTGTACATTTGAATTTCTAAGTAAATTTATTTATTTGTTTATTTATTTCCGTGGTTAGATTTTTTTTGATATTTTATACATATAAGTACATAAACTTATTGCTGTGTTATTAGAATAATATTTCAACAGAGCCTCTGCTGAAGAGTTACGTTGTGTTTGGTTAGGAGATTTAGAAAGGGATGTGGAAAGGAAAATAGAAAATGTAGGTGAAATAAAAATAAAATATACATACATTTTACTAAATTTCACACATTTTTTCTCTTTTCATTTTTAAATTCTTTTCAAAATCTTTCAACCAAACACAACATAAGGATATATTGAAAAGCTGCATTCTGATCTTGTTCTTTGGGGTAGGC